AGAGAGAGAGAGAGAGAGCACACGAGAGAAAGAGAGAGAGAGAGAGAGAGCACACGAGAGAAAAGAGAGAGAAAAAGAATCAGAGAGGGAAGAGAGAAAAAGAAAGAGAGAGCGCGAGAAACCGTGAGTGAGATTCTCCAATTTCTTAACCACTTACCTAAAAACAGATTCAGCTGCTGAGCCACCATACTGAACCAGGGCAACACACTCCCCACCCCCTGACATCAGGCAGCCAGTTCGGGGGGAGGGGAGGGTGTGCCTCAAAATGCCATCAGGAATGCTGGGACCCCGAGCTTCCACTGGGAGGCCACATCCACACAGATGGCCTCATCTCCACTTGGAAAATTCCCGTCATCGGAGAACAAGCCCAAAATGGCCTTTAATTACCCATAATTATCTTTAATGGCTCCTTGTGGGTTGACCTTCCTGTCACGCCTCTTCTCACTTCTCAGAAACTGACATGTGGTGGGATGATACTGGAAAACTTTCACACTGACAACTTCCCAGTGAGAGCAGCTTGCTGGCACTCTCATCTCGCTTCACTTGGAAAATGCCTCATAACAGCATTAGAGTAGGCCATTCAGGCCTTTGAGTCTGCTCAGCCATTTAATAGAATCATGGCTGATCTCATCTTGGCCTGAACTCCTTTCCTGCTCACTTTCCCGGAGAACTTAATCAGAGGCTGACCAGGTTATATTGAGTAACATTTCTACGCTATAAAAAGTGTTACCCCAACAAAATAAACCGACCTTTCCCATCAGTACCAAAAACTCAAGAACTAATCTAAAAGAAGAGATTTAAAATGTATTATTAATCATCCAGGAGGAGGGAAGAGTGTAAAGTGAGTCTGATCCCTCTCTACAAAATCAACTCCCTGCTTCGTCTTTGCAAAGGCTACAAATAAGTCCATTGAAAGAGAGATACCATTTCTCCCTCTGGGTCACCGACACCTTCAATCCTTCAAATTTGACACGTCTTTAAATAAATTATTGGAATCCATTGATTAACAGCTGTATAGCAGGCCATTAGCTAATAGGAAACACTCACGCCACCTGCTAAAGTGGGTCATTATGAGGACTGTTTTTTAGAAAATTCAATAAAGCAGCTACCACTACTGCAATATTCTAATTTTAAGCAGCACCGTAGTAATGACTTTATTGACTGGCATTATTGCACAGCAAGCTGTCACTGGTCACTAGTAAAACTGAAGCTACTCACCTGGTGCAGTCTGCAGTGCAAGGAGCAACTGGCTACACAACTAAGAGGCATGTACATCAACACAGTTTAGCAAAATGCAGCTCAGACCAACACTAGAAATCACCAAGTCAGACCACGAAAGCATAGCTGCACCTTGATCAAGGCAAGACAAACATTTCCATTGCATTTAATGGCCTAAAGTTCTGGTGGAGATGACAAATTTGATTTTTTATTTCATTCAAACTGTTACAAAATAGAGATGAATGTTCTGTTTCACAGTTAACACATCGTCTTCCTTTAAGAGATACGTTTATGATCCTGTCACTATATCGTGTGAGCAGATCGCAGAAAAGTCTCAGTCTCCATCGTACTGGGACCACTTATAGCATGACATGCCGAGGGAAGCATTTGCATTTTGTAACCCAAATGCTTTGTCCTAGTCCAGGCACGACAGTGCCCACATGACTGCAATATACGTATGATGTAGAGGTGTCAGCGTTGGATTTCGATGGACAAAGTCAGAAAACACATCACATCAGGTTACAGTCCAACAGGTTTATTTGAAATCACAAGATTTTGGAACATCTATTGAATGTTTCAGTGCTACATTACCCATGTCTTGTTCTTATTTTTGTTAGGTCTCATGACACGTCAACTCATCAGGTACGAATACCCCGCTGATGGTAAAAATAAAATCAACCATCGCATCTACAACAAATCAGGAGAACAGATCAGATCTGGGTTCAGCGGTAGCCATTTATAAAAGAAACAACTCTAGATATCACATCAGCAAATGTATTTACTTGTATCTCATTCGCATCAGCTGTACTCCAGACATCACTGTGACTGCAAAACACTATCCTTCTGTTGCAGACTTTTAAAAAATCTTTTATTTATATATAATGTCTTGCAGCCACGGGCCACCTCAGAACCCAGTACAGCTGACTGCAATGTGTGGAATGGAAGAACTATAGCAGCTAACCTGCACACAGCAACTCCCACAAACAGCAACGTGACAGTGATAAGATTTCTGTCACATTGGTTAAGGGACAAATATTGGTCACGGACAACTGTCTTGTTCTTCTTCAAAACAGTGCCATGGGACTTTGTACATCAATGCTGGAGGTATACTAGCTCCTGTCAAAAGCTCCGAGACCATAGGTCCCATTTTCCCCCACTGTTCAGGATAGCAGAGTGGCTCAGTGGTTAGCACTGCTGCCTCACACGTGAGGATCCAGGTTCGATTCCACTCTTGTGTGACTGTCTGTGTGGAGTTTGCACATTCTCCCAGTGTCTGCATGGGTTTCCTCTGGGAGCTCCAGTTTCCTCCCACAGTCCAAAGATGTGCATGCTAGGTGGGTTGGATATACTGAGTTGTCCATAGTGTAAAAGGATATGTAGGTTAGGTTAGGGTTAGCCATGGGAAATACAGGGATAGGGCAGGGGAGTGGGTTTGGGGGAGATGCTAAATTGAATGGCCTGCTTCCACACTGTAGGGATTTTAATGAATATTAAAACTTAATAGTGTAAAAAGCTACAAGATAAAGAATGCCAATTATTGCCTGCTGCGTTCCCTCTGTTCAACTTAGAGCCCAGAAATGCATGAGAACATTCGAACTGCACATATTCCACAGCAAACAGATTCTGACCTCCAGCCACATTCATTCATTCGTAGCAATTAGACTTTGTGGTTTTAAATGGGGCAGTTTAACTGAGACACTGCACCACCTTAACAACGTGATAATTTGCAGCGTATGCAAGGTACAACTGCATATCACCCATATTACCATAAACAAGGACAGTGAATCCTCTGTGCTTGTGCTTTTGTTTAGATGCCTTGAAATGTATAGTCAGTACTGTTGCCAATATTAAAATAAGAAAACTGAAAATAAAAACTATGCAATTCCTTCCTCTGCCATTTTGAGAAAGCTACAATTAGTGTTTTCAACAAAGTGAACTGTCCCAAGAGAGTCCAAGAATGGAACACTGGGTATTAACAAAATCTTGGCATAAAGGGGGATGGGCCTTAAGGAGTGTCATAAAAGAAGGGAGAGGGAGAGGAAAATCCAAAAGTTAGCACCTACACAGCCGAAACCTACGCCAGTAGTGGAATGAAGAAATGGTGTTGGGAGAGCTGCCAGAATTCAGGAGCCCCAGAGATCTCAGTGTTGTAGGGCTACAGCAGGTTAGAAAGAGAGAAGGAGTCGTAAGACTATGCAGGGATTCAAGCATGAGAATTTTACACAATTGGTCATTGCCTCCAATTAAAATCAGAGATGAATTTGATGCAAGTGCTGGATGCAATATTATCTTTGGTAGTCACTTTCCTGTTTTACAATTAAAATGGGAGGTCTGAGGTTTCCAAGATCATAGGGGAGGTTCAATGGCTAAAAACAGAAACTGAACTGAACTAGCCATAAATACTATGACTACAGGAGAAAACCTAGAGGCTCGGGATTCTGCCGTGAGTAATTCACCTCCGGTCTCCCAAAGCCTGTCCCCCATGTACAAGGTGTATAAAGAAATATTCTCCAATTGCCTGGATGTGTGTCGCTTCAACAACACTCAAGAGGTTTGACACGATCCAGGGTAAAGCAACTCATTTGATTGGCATCCCCTCCACTACTGGCAGCAGCATGTACCATCTACAAGATGCACTGCAATAACTTATCAATGCTCTTCTAACAGGACCTTCCCCACCCAGGATTTCTACCACCTGAAGGACAAGGACAACAGGCACATGGGAACACCACCACCTGCAAGTTTCCCTCCAAGCCACTCACCATCCTGACTTGGAAATATATCACCATTCCTTCATTGTTTGGGTCAAAATCCTAGAATTCCCTTCCCATGGCATTGAGAGTGTGAATGTATCTACTGCACATGGACTGCAGAATTCGAAGAAGACAACTCACTGTCAGCTTCTCCTGAGCAACGAGAATAATGCACTCCTCGAAAAGCCCTTCTTCATAAGCCAAATCCTGCCACCCAAGGGATTTATCTGGTGAACCTGTTACACTCTTGTGCAGCAAATATATCCTTCTTTAGGTAAAGAGACCAAAACTAGGAATTTCACTCAGATTTCTATACAACTGCAGTGAGGCAAATGTACTCCTGTATGTAAATCCCCCAACAATGAAGGCCAACATACCAATTAACTTTCTGGTTGCTTGCTATATCTGAACACTAGCTTCCAGTGAATTTTGGACAATGACACTCAAGGTCTGAGATACTAAGAACTGCAGATGCTGGGAGTCAGAGATAACAGAGCGTGGAGCTAGAGGAACACAGCAGGCCAAGCAGCAGAGGGGCAGGAAAGCTGACGTTTTGGGTCGGGACCCTTCTTCAGACACTCAAGGTCCCTTTGGTCACCAGAACTTCGTAACTCTCACATCATAAGAAATATTGAGCCTTTTTGTTGTGATACCCACATCATAGAATGGCCCTTTAAAGTGTAAGCACAGATATAGAATGGTTATCAACAGGACAGCAGGAAATGCCCAGGGATTTGCACCCTCAATACAATCTTCGAGACAAATATTTGTAGAAAAAATGAAAGAGACTGAAAAATTGCATCCTTTAACTCGGACAAGCAAGAACATGAAGTAGGAAAGAAAGAGCAGTTAAAAACAAATTTATGACAAGTGCGAGCCACGGTTCTCCTGGGACAAGCACAGATTTGTTGCTGGAATACATTAGCCGCAAAGTTATTCCAGGAGCGGTGTTATCATAATGGAGGTCATTACATGCGCGGAGCGAACAAGCTTCTGGTAAGATAGCTCCATGCATCTCTGCAACCAATAATTGCAAACGGGACAGGTAGAACCCAGACATTTGCCGAGGTTGATTTTTTATACTGCTTTTTGCAAGCTGACTTAGTATCTTCTTGGTTATTTACAGATTATTCAATTCTATTGCTTTTAAAAGAAAACGCACAAATATACAAATTAGAAGCCAGAGTAAGCCGTGTGGCCATTCAAGAACGCTGTGCCATTAAATAACATTCGGGCAGAATAAATCATGT